GCGGCCCGTATGACGGAGACCTCTCTGTGTTTGTGTGTACCCAGCTGCCACCCCATGAAGGGCGAGTGCACGTGCCAGCCGGGCTGGGCGGGGCTGTTCTGTAACGAGACCTGTCCGCAGGGTTACTACGGCAGCGGTTGCCAGGAGACCTGCTTATGCCTGAACGGGGGCACCTGCAGCAGCGAGAATGGGCAGTGCCACTGCGCCCCCGGGTACAGGGTGAGTCCCTGGGGGCGTGGGGGAGGGGATCCAGGCAGCGTAGCCTGTGAGCGTCTTCTGTTTCACAAATTCCTTTAACTTCTGGCGCACAGCTGATATGTGTATCCATGGCAGGCTGCAGAGAGATAAGGAAGTGAGCTGTGGCAACAAAATGTAGGACTCACTGACCCCAGGAATGGGACCCAAACGGTCATTAAGTCTCTCAGAATGTCAGGTCCAGCGCTTGTACTGTAGCTTTGGACCTAGTGACCAACACTTAATTTAATTTAACTGCTGGACCACCTAGCCTCAGAATCATCCCTGAAGCTAATATAAGAAACAGCCAACTAGGAACTGGGTCATGGAAGTGACACTTTACTGCTGCTTGGAGATTATGACTTTATTATTGCTGACTCTTCTACTGCAGCCAAGATAAATTGCATTTCTTTAAACAGCACACTTGCATGCTTGTGTGTGTTTTTGGGGATGTCAGGAAACATGAACTAGATAACATTGTCTCATAGTATAACAGCTCGTCATGTCTAGCGCGCTGGCTGTAATTGGATGTCCTGTGTGTATCTTTGCCTCCCCCTGCTGGCCACAGGGAGACCACTGCTCCAGCCACTGCCTCCCAGGATCCTTTGGGAAGAACTGCTCCTCTCGCTGCACCTGCGTGAACGCAGTGGCCTGCTCCCCCATCGATGGCACCTGCTTCTGCAAGGAGGGTGAGAAACCAGGCCCATCATCCTTCACACAGCTCCTCTGTGCTGGGAGTCCAGTCTGCGGCTCAATCCAGTTTGAGACTCTTCTTCCTTCCCCCTGCTCTTTCCACCTCTATCGGCTCTGTCCTCTTCCTTCTTACAGTCCCTCGTCTGTCCTGACTCTGCTTCTCGTCCGCTCCCACCTGCTGCTGGGTGCCGGTTCCCCCTGGCTCGTGCCTCTCTGTCTGATCCTGCTCCTCATCCACACAGCCAGCTGCAGACATCAGGACCCACTGCCTCTCTGCTCCTCTTCTCCTCTCCAGTGCCCATCTTCTCTCGCTGCACCCATGACAGCGGACTGTGGGCTCTGGTGTCCTGCCAACCCTGGTGTCACGACCACCAGCCTGCCCAGACCAGCCCCCAAGAGAGCTAACCAGTGCCAGCAGTGGGGCGATACAAACGCCACTGCACGTGTTAACTCAGCACCAGACGCCCTACCGTGCGGCCGGCTGCAGTATTTAAGCTTCACGCTGCTCGGTATTGAATCTACTCCCCGAGAGCTCGACCTGGCGGTTACTGTTCCTCGTATGACCTTGGATTCTGGACTTCCCTTTTGCCCTTTGACTTCAGACCTCGCCTCTCGTCTCGGATGGTTTGCCACCAGAGTACTACCCGGATTTCGACCTACCCTTACTCCCTTCGGCCACGACCTCGCCTCTTGCTTCGGATTGTTTGCTTCTGTCGGACTTCCTGGATACTGAACCACCTTTTCCTTCGGACCACGACCTCATCTCGCGCATTGGATTGTACGCCAGCCGTGTCTTCTGCCTACCCCTGCCTACCCCTGCCTACCCCTGCGTCTGCACAGGATCCATATCTCCTCATTAGGGTTGCCTAACACCTGGTGCCCTGTCAGGCCTGGTTCCTCCTGCAAAAGCATAGTCATGCTGTTACACTGAATCCTTAAGCCATGATTTTGCCTCCTGCTTTTCCATTTTGCGCTTTTACCTCGCTTTCCATCCATTGTTATTGTTGTTGATCATGTGTCATATACCTTCTTTTCAAAGGGACTGTCGAAAGAACAACCAATCATCTTCTTAACTGTAACTAGGAAACTGTTTTACCGTGAACTGTTGTTACAGCACACTGAGCACTTTTACATGCTGTAAGACATCTTGGATAAAGGCATCTGCTGGAAACAATAATTCTGAGCTTCCTTTCACTTGAATTGTGGACTCAGCAAACTGATAATGAGCTGAGACATGCCAGAGCAGGAGAAGCTACAGTGCCAGTTAGCGAAACTGGAGCAGCTGAAGAACAATCCTGCAGGCTTCTGGGGTGCCTTCCCCTCCTAATAAGTCAGCAGCCTTGATTTTGAAACCACGTCATCAACACGCTCTTGAAGGAGCCTCCCTGAAGGAAAAGCCAGGAGCGTATTCGTTCCGAGGTCGCCCGCGGAAAAAAAGTTCTTGGGAGAGCACAGCGCTAAACGGGTGCAGATGTCTGCTAATGCCGATGTTGTAGTTCCATCTCTCGCATATTTTCTGTTGACACCAAGAAAAAAAAGCGAGTTAATGAACTTCTCGAACAGGTGGCCTCTCAGGAGCTCCGTGATGGTCTAGCAAATGTGGAACCGAATCCACCTGATGCGTTTGGCTGCAGCAGCTGCTTTCTTCAGGTCGGCAGAGGTGCAGACGTGTGTATGTGTGTCACAAAGTCGGCAGTCCTTGTCACGATCGTTACTCCTCCTCTTAAGGGCTCTCCAGCCCTTCCTTGTTCTGCCCCATTCCCCGCACCTGTTCCTTATTCCGGCCCCTCTTCAGTTCCCCCTTAAAAGCCAGACGCAGACGTCATTCGAATCCCGTTTCGTGAGAGCCCCGGTCCTGTTGCGTCTGGCTCCATTATGATTTTAACCTTCTGTTCCTAATCACCCCAGCCGGTTCCGACCCGGTGGTGTGTTTTAACCCCCGGATGGATCGCCTGGCTATGGACTCTCGCTTCTGTCCTGGATTACCCGTTTGGACTTCTTCATGGATTGTTCGCCCCGGAATCACCACCCCTGGACACCTGCGCCCCTTGGACACGCCCCCTGTCTCCATACCCTTTCCTGCATGGCTTTTTCCCCAGTGTTTCCGAACAATTCCGGATCGTGTCGTCTGCATAGGGCCCGGAAAGAACTGTTCGGGACAGTCCTGCCACGCCCCCATTTTAAGCGCTCGGGAGCAGATGCTTCTATAGTGGGGGGGGAAGAAGGAAGCAGGAAAGTAGACTTGATTGCTCCCTGAAAAGCCATGAAAATGTTTCTCTTTCTCTAAAAATTCATCCATTTTTCATTTGCAAGCTGTTTGCTGAGATAATTGGATCGCAGCTGTAAGGAACGCTGATAAGACAGACATGGGTGTCCAGTCCTGCTCCTAGTGATCCAGTGTGTCTGCAGGTTTCCTGGGTCTCCTTAAAGCAGCAGCACTTGAAGTGTCGGGTGACGATAGCGCACTGGTCCAGTCAAGCTGTCAATGGCCTGATTTGGGATGTTAGGAGCTCAAGTGGAATGAACACTTGCAGACACACTGGTTCCAGGGCCAGCAGTTGTCACCCCGGGTCTGAGGTCCCAAACAGCCCAAGAGGCAACAGTGTTGGACAGCGGCTGGAGCTCTGGACTCTTGACCTGAGGGTTCTGGGTTCAAATCCCAGATTTCTTGTTAAAAAAACCATTGCTACCATCTGGAAAACGGTATCGGAGCATTCGGGCCCGGACTTCCAGACTCAGAGACAGTTTTGACCCCCGCACTATCAAACTGTTAAACTCCCAGCCTCTCTCACCTCTCACCTACGATCTGAACCTCACAGTGCCTTCTTTCCTACCAAAGACTCAAACACACACTGAAATCTACCTCTACCTCACAGGTCAAAAGCTCACTCCCCATAATTTCTATCCTTTATTTCATTCTGTTAAAGCATGTTTTTGCACATCTGATGTTGTTTTGCACATTGTCTGTTGTCTCTGTCTTTCTTTCATTATACAGTTGTATTGGTTTTTTTTTTGTACTACGTATCGTCCGAGAGGTAGCTAAATAGCATTGCGTTATACCATATACCTGTATATAATGACAATTGACTTGAACTTGAACTTGAGAATAGGTATTCTTCAGAATGCGGTTGGAAATAACAGTGTGGTCAGAAAAGGATATCTATCCATAAATGAAGGTTTGTTTAGATTTAAGTGAATCCAAGCCAAGGAGAAATGAAATGATGCCCTTCCTTCTTTTGACTGTGAGACGGCTGCCTGCGCCAGACCACCCTCGCGCCCCTCGATGGATTAACTGCCAACTCATCTTCGTCTTTAAAAACTTTGAATTAGTATTGCACTTGTTTTCCACTGACTGTAAATCACTTATCCAGTCCACTGTGTGACCAGCGGGCCCAGTGAGAGATCAGTGACGCTGGCAGGGACAGAGTGGAGACCGAGCTGTGTGGTGTCCTGTCTGACGCCCCAAAATGTTCTAGGGGGCGCTGATGTTGTAGAGAGGCGCTTCCCATTGGGGGGCGGTATCTGTGGGGGGGTGAAGGAAGTCCCAATTCAGTTTAATTCCAACTACTTTATTCCTCCCCAGCAGGGACGGGTTTAGGAATGTGACCTGGGATTTGTGTTTGCAGGCTGGCTGGGTTTCGACTGCTCCATCCCCTGCTCCAGGGGCACCTGGGGCCCCGCCTGCAACGGTACCTGCCTTTGCGCCAACGGGGCGGCCTGCAGTCACCTGGACGGCTCCTGCACCTGCACCGCGGGCTGGCAGGGGGCGCTCTGCGACCAGCCCTGTCCGGTGAGAGCCCCTGCACAGCCCGAGTGAGGCTCGGTAGAGCTCCAGGCTCAGAGGCAAGGCAGGGCGATGGAATAAAACACCATTTCTTAGAAGAGTACAAAATACAGATCCTCCCCTGGGATCGCAGTTTCCCTGGGGTTTTCCAGAGCTGCAGGTTCGAGTCTTGAAATCCACACAGTTGGAGATTAGGTGCTGATCGTATTTTCTTTACGAAAGGAAGACATGCGTAAATTAGCATGAATGTACTGTGTTTGGGATTATCTGTATCCGTGGTACTGCACAGAGAAGAGCCTGCCCCAGGGAACACCTGGAATGGATCCAGCTTCTACGGGATCAGATTCTCACCCCCCAGTGGAAGTATCTTACTGTTGCCCTCATCATCAATATGTTTCCCACCTGTTAAAAGAGTCCTGCGCTGCTGTGAGGGATTAAGGCTTCCGAATCTGAGGATGTGCCAACGTGCCAAGGATCCTCTTGATGGGACGTTGCCAAAGCAACACCAGAAAGTGTCGGGCTAGTGGCATATGTTCCTGTGGTGTGTTCCGCACAAATTAAAAGCACGTACGTTTAGAAATGACATCACATCCAGCCTAAACCGCTACGGCAGGTAAAGGTATAAATGCTTTTAACAGAGAAATCCCTGACACGTCTGCTGCAGCAACTGCCCAGATTAAAGGTTTAAACTTTTGAAGGTGTTTGTTACAGCGGCTTGTATTTACAGTAGTAGGAATCGAGCTTTTGGAGGCCCTAGGAAAGATCTTGCGTGAACTATTATCATCAGCCCCCACCCAAAACGTATTTGACTATTTAGAGCACTATTTAGAAGTTAATGAATTATATATACCAGAAAACGTCCATTAACCCTCTTTGCTTAACCAACTTCTAGTAAAACTCCTCTGGTGGTCTCTGTGGCTTAGCTTGAAGATGTGGCTTGCCTAACGTTTGCTAGTTACATGGATCTGACCGCTCGAGCCCAGAGTCGAATGAAATACAACTGCACGAGTGATTCTAATCAGAATCATAATCAATAGTATTCATAACTAACAAATTTAAGCTGCCTTGCAACAGAAAGTGCCACCGGGGGCAGTTTTTGGCTCACAGTGGAACGTGCCGGCTAAAGATGGGCTGTGCAGCACCTCTCCGGGGGCCCCAGGCAGCCGCCCCGCTGGCCCTGGTAGGGGCCCCCGGAGAGGGCGCAGTGTGGCTGGAGTGTGAGGCTGTGCTGTCCTGCAGGAGTCCTCCTACGGGCCGGGCTGCGGACTGCGCTGCGACTGCCTGCGCGCCGAGACCTGTGACCCCCGGGACGGGCGCTGCCGCTGCCGCCCCGCGTGGACGGGTGAGTGCGCCCGCCTCGCGCAGGGATCCGCTCGCTGGGCTTTCCTGCAGCTAAACCCTCTCGCCGCGGAAGCTGCAGTCTGGCACAGGGGACTGATGGGACTCCTGGAATCTCAAGGCCTGTGTTTGTAACACTGGCTGTAATAACAGCTGACCTGCCACTAGATGTCGCCAAAAGCCTCTGTCTCTTGTATATTGAGTGTTGGGTAACTGAGTTCAGGTTCACTCCTGACGGTAATTGATGGTGTGTTGGAGTGTTAAAGGGCAGGCACAGTGTTGGTGTTAGTGGCAGGTGGGATAAAGAAATAGTCAGGGAAGAGTGTAGAAGCTCTATCACCCTGCAAATGACAGCTGGCAGGCCACTGGAGTTTTGCAGCTGTGAGCCTGGCCACAGCTGAGGCTGTTGCTGGAAGAGGTGTTAGTGGGGCCAGTATTGGGCGCACACCCTGTGGTCTGTGTGGGTCGTAAAGCCCCAGTATAGTGATGGGGGTGTAAAAAAGGTACCATTTTTTGGATTAGATGTAAAACTTAGGTCCAAGAGTGTTTCTCGAAACCTGGCCTTTACCAATCATGGCCTCCTAATAATCCCCATCTCTGAACTGGCTTCATCACTCTGCTCTCCTCCCCACTGAGAGCTGCTGTGTGGGGCCGGACTGGTACATCATCCAGGTGGGGATACACACTGGTGGTGGTGGAGGGGAACACTGTGTTTTGTCCAGAAAAGTGTTACAGTATATAAGAGCAAGGATTAGTATTAGATGTAGTGAAGGAAAGCTCCTCAAGAGTCCTGCACTCTGAAGTGCTGTCATTGTGAGTTTCATGTGACAGATCCCTGGAGTTGCTTAGCCTAAGACTGTCTCAAAGGGACCACTTTCACTGTGGTAAAAGCGTAATAAAACAACAAGAAAACTGTCTTTCATGAGAAGCAAATGAACTGGCCTATCTTGCACAGTAAAGGAGGACACGAGGAAAGGTTTTGAAGTGCGCGGCGAGCAGTCGTGCTGGTGAGGGTGACCGGGACTCCCCTCTCCCCTCCGCAGGAGCCCGCTGCGAGAAGCCCTGTGAGGAGGGCCGCTGGGGGCCAGACTGCACCGGCACCTGCACCTGTCAGAACAGCGCCACCTGTCTGCCTGAGAACGGAACCTGCATCTGCAGCCCTGGGTACCAGGGAACCCGCTGCCAGAACAGTGCGTATCCCCCAGAGACCCCGCTGACTGTATCCCCCAGAGACCCCGCTGACTGTATCCCCCAGACCTCACTGACTGTATCCCCCAGAGACCCCGCTGACTGTATCCCCCAGAGACCCCGCTGACTGTATCCCCCAGACC